GAAATTGACTAGCATCAAATTATTCAATTAGTGGCCAATTAATTGAAAATATTAAAATCATAACACAAATAAACACATGCGGAAAATCTAATAGAAATAACTCAAAATTAATCAATCCTTCTCAAGTTTTTTGCTACAATCAAACACTAAATAATGAATTTAGCTCATAATGTAATCTATGAAAATACTAAAATTCATATAAAAAGACATAGGGAAGATAATAGAAAAATTAGGATATAGATCTTCAATTTTTTCTCTTATTCTTATTTGTCTTGTTCTTGAATCTCTAGATACTTTTTCTCATTGCCTTCTTAAAGAATTATGTTGAATTCTCCCTTGCCTCTTGAACCGTTCTCTCCCTAGAAGTAGATCTAAGGGTTGTATTTATAGTCATTTGAAGTCTTGGAAGGGTTGGCGTCGTGATGAGCCAAGAAAATAGTCTAAAAAAATCAAAACCTTTTTTCTCGCCTAGTGGCACCTTGGCACCACAATTGTGGCGTTGCGGCGACAAATTGCTGTTGAATTAAATAAAAATAATCCCTAGTAGCGGTGCCAAAATCTTGTTGTCGATTTTTATGTCCTGCAAGTGTACGGATCGTAACAATAATATAGTGGACTAATGAGTCCGGATATTGTTCACACGAGGACTACCATCTAACAATTGGTTAAATTATTCCTAACTCTAATTGATCGAAAACAAATAATAATTTTGTGATTGATGTCTCTAACTAAACTAAATTAATCTAACATACACAATTTATCAATTTGGATTTTAAAAGTACAAATGTAGATGCTAGGACTTATAATTTTACCTATGGATCCCATTTAATTCGTCAATCAAGATTCATTAATATTGTAGTATTTGATCGAATTCTTTTAAAGTATTCAATTTATCCCTCTCGAATTCTCGTTGAGTCTATTTAACTAATTCAATTCCATAATTCTATGTGAATCAACCTTAGTTAAATAAAATATTTGTTCTAAGAATTCATTTAATGACTGAAATAATTAGTATATGTATCTCTACACGTTATACTAAATTATCGAATTTTTCTATGTAGTCTAAATCTAAAACTCACATTTCTATTCGTAATGGATTCACAAAATCATTAAATAATTGGTCAAAAAATTCAAAACATTAAATTCATAAATAAAATCAACTCATATGCTTTTAAATAATTAGAATATTGAATAAAATAGATAAATGGTCACATATAGATTACATTGTTCGTCCTAACTATAAATTTAAGTACTCATAATAATAAAAGAAAAACAAAAATTATAGAGTTTGTAACCAAGTTTTGAAATCTTGATATGGAAAAAATTGCATCTTACACCAAGAATCTTCTTCAACCTCAAAAGTCTTCAAACCATAGCTCTTGCTATTTGATCTTGATGATTATGTGTTTTTTCTCTCCCCAAATTATGTGAAACTCCTTCAAAAGTGTCCAAAAACTTGTATTTATATTTCTCCCCCATGTTTTTGTCGAATGTAGGGTTTTATGGACTTCAAAACGGATAAAAACGTGCCATAAATACACCTAGGCGGCACTTTTGCGCTATGGAAGTGGTGCCGCGGGAAAATTTCAGTACTGCACCTAATTTAGTATTTTTATCATAACTTCCTCCCGAATATTCGATTTAGGCAATTCAAATTGAGTTGTAAAGATAACTCAAATGACTACAACTTTACCAAAAATAGCTATTTTCCAATTCAAATGTTTACTAGGCCAAAAATAGGTCTCTATCTTCGGCTGAAAATCTAAATCATCCTTGTGCGGTTGAAAATTGATTTGTGAATATTTTGGTCATATTTCACTCCTTTTGACTTCTAATTGCATCCATTTGACCCCTAACATTCTCGAATCTTCAACTTGATCTTCAGCACAACTTTTGAGTATTTACACTTTAGTTTCCAAACTTTTGATCTTGCCACTTTTTTCACCAATTTTGAATTCTTTCTTTCAAATTCACTTCCATTCATCGAGTTTCGCCTAATAACACATTATATAATAAATTATGTTATAATTCCATTAAAATAATTACGAAATGTCAATATTTTAAAGCCCGAAAATGTGTATAAAATACACTTATCAATAACTATTTTTTTTGAAAGTGTACATGATATTAAAAAACATAACTATAAAATCCCTTTATTAAGCATGGTCAAGTATTTTCTTTATCTTCTTAAGAAGTGAATAGTACTGCAGAATATGCCATCTACTTATTTGTCGAGAAGTTAGACAAAAGTGGATTAAACCCAACATATAATTCACACATTTTCTTTTGAGGAAATTACACCCACAAAGGTTTTTAAGATACCATTTTCAAAAATCCAGAATCAACTTTAATAATACTTAATAGTCCAAAATTAATTAGTAAAAATTTAATTAAAAATAAATTTAGTTTTCTACACAATTTTCAATCCTTAATTTCATTTTCTCTCCCTCTCCCCCTGCCGCTCTCCACACTCTCTCTCTATCCCTCTCGCCGCCGCCCGTCGGCACCACCACCGTTTCATTTTTTCGCTCCACCACCACGGCGGCTTTGTGCAGATCTGGTCTTGGTTCAGATCTGTTCTTCTTTCTTTTTTTTATTTGTGGATGTGTGAGCGTCGGTGGATGACAGTGGTGTTGTTGGTGGTGGCGCCGCGCAGAGGAACGACGAGAGTGCTGGGTTGACGATATGGAGGTTGCATGGTGGAGGTTATGCCGTTGGGAGGTTTATGGGCGAACCTAGAGATGGCAATGGCACCTCTGCGAACGGGCAATGACTATGCCGAGGGTTTATACAGAAATTGATGGTGGGTTTAACAATGATGATGGCATGCCCCGGAGAATTGAGTGAGGTGTAACGAGGAGAGGAAAGAGAGAACGTGGTAGAATCAATCGACTTTTTGCTAATTTCTCTTCTGTTTCTAGGAGATTTAGATCGGATTCTTCCTCCTTAGGTCGGGTTTGGGTTAGTCGGAGTTGGAGCTTGTCGGGTTCTGGTTCGTCGGTGGTTAGCAGGTATATATTGAGGAGGAATAGTAACAGATTTGGTGATGGGCTCGGTGAGGTGTGGTTGCGGTGTAGGCGGTGTTGTTATTGTGGCAGTGATTATTGTGGTGTTGTGGCGGGGTGAACAACTGTGATAGTGGTTTTTTTGGTGTTGCGGTGCAGGCGGCATAGTTTTTTGTTGTTATTGTGATGGGGGTTGTGGTGGTATTGTGACGGGGCAATGGTGGAGGTTTGGGTGGTGTTGTGGCGAGGGCGGGGTAGTATTTGTGACCAATTATTTGGTTGGTTTGTGACCAAATATTGGCGGATGATCGGGACGGGAGTGGGGTGTTTGGTGTATGTGACCGACATTTTGGTTCATTGTGACCTATCGATAAACTGTGATCTATAATTTTTTGATCCGTGATCAATGAATTAAATTGTGACGTATAAAAATTTTAATTTGTGACCTCGAAATAATTGGTGATTAATTAATTTGATATTTTGTGACCGTAAAATAAGTTGTATAACTTATAAATTTTGTAATTTGTGACCGATGAACAAATTGTGATTTTTAAATTTTTAATTTATGACCGATGAACGGACTGTGACCTATAAAATTTTTTGAATTGTAACCTTAAAATTTTTGAATTGTGATCAAATTGCATAGATATGTGATATTTATATATTTATTAATAAAATATATAATTAAATAATTAAATCATAAATTTTTTTTAATGAAAACCCGATTTTTGAAATTTAAAACCTCTACCCTTAATTTTGAAATGGTGTATACTAAAAATCTGATTTATGTATTGTTCCCTTTTCTTTTATCCTTTTTAAATATTTTACAATCTAACCATGAAAAATTCTTGTGAGATTGACGGCAGACAATAATTGCTAAATCTTTTTTAGATGGGTTGTGCTAGATGTACACCCGTTAACTTTTTCATTATGTACAATTCATAGTTAAGTTCAGTGAAATATTTAAAAATAATAATTAATTTACAAAAATATATGTTATATCACACTTGTGCAACGTATGAACAATTTTCGAACTTGTACAAATAATGATGTTAGCATCCTACGCACATGAAATCGATTAATTTACAAAAAAAAAAAATGTCATATCATACTTGCACAACATATGAATGATTTTGTACAAATAATGTACATCTCAGACGAATTAAGTCGAGATTTTATGCAAAATAAAATTCTAAATTATTTGTCAATAATCGTTCATATAAAGTCAGAATCTTCAATAATTATCGTTCAATCATATGACGAAGACTTTGTTCTCAACCTCTGTAATCGGTACTTTATGGATAGGATTTGGTCATGTTCGAACTCGTTACCTTAACTGCATAGATGGAGCATTTTTATCGATTAATCAGAAGTAATTAACCTTGAAATTCATTTTAGAGACAAACCCTCCTAGAAACACGAGATTATTTTTTATTGTCGTCCCATATCTATAGCTGTCAACCTATGCATACACATCAAGTTAAATGTTTCATACTTTACTCATTGAACTTTAAATTATTTTTGAGTAGTTACTGAACTTTAACACGCTACGATCAATCACTCATTCACCATATTTCAAAAATTATTGAACTTTAAAATACTTCTGAATGAACATTGAACTTTAACACGTTGCACTTCATCACTCACTCATCATGTTTCATTAATTATTGAACCTATACTTCCATCATGCTTTACTCACTGAACTTTATAATGCTTTCGTGATCACCAAAACAAAAATGTTAGCGAAAACTATATTTAGAGCTTGTTTGGGAGAGATTTTTGGGGGAAAAATTGATTTTGAATAGTGATATGATGGGAAATGTGTGGTTGAAAAAGAAGAAGAAATTATTGATGTGATGGAAAATATTATTTTATTAAAGAATGTGTGATTGAAAATGAGAATTGATTTACTGTAGAAAAATTTAATCCCTCCCAAACAGGGCCTTAGGGCAATCTGAGTCATAGGCAGCTAAAATGCTTGAAAATTTGGGAGACGATAGTCACTTTATTTTTCTGCTAACTCAGAAGAACAAAAATAACACACTATGATTTATTTGTAACTCGGTATTTTGACATGGTTATCAGGACAAACATTGCTTCTCTCGTTTGCTCGAGTTGCTGATAAATGTTTGGGCATAGAAGAATGGTGTACGTGGACCCAAATGCAGGAACAACATGAGTTGAGAAGACGGAGAGGTCAAATGCAGGTTAAGTGGTTTCAATATAGCACTCCAAAGAGCATGGACGAGGACGTGGCTGAGGAGGCTGATTCCGACCACCCAAAAAGGCTGTGGTTGTGGTCGTCAACGGGTGAATTTTTGTGGCAAGGGTATGTATGAAAAGGAGAGGAACCTGAGAAATACAGAAAAAGAAAAGAAGAGACAACAAAGTAGGGATAAAATTCAAAGCAGATGGGGGCAAATTCAATAGCCCTTGTGAGTATTTAATGTTGGATTTTGGTTTAAAGAAGATGAAATTTGGTTAAGTAAAACCTTGATAAGTTGATTTTGTATCAATTGTGGACAAATATTCGAACTTGATCCGATAGTCAAATTATGAAAATAAATAAACTAACTTATTCTACTCGTCGAGTAGATGCTCGTAATATATTTGAAATCTCAAAACTAATGAGAAATTGTGATCCAAGGTTGAAAAGAAAAAAAAAGAGAAATTCAACATATATGACAATCGCTGGAACGTCAGGTCTCTAATAATAACGCTTGATCGCAACATGGGTGTTAGGCTAGCTCCACGAATGGTTGCGACCCTTGATAAAAGATGCTGAGTTTCGAAACATGTCTCTCCAGCCACAACCCCTCGCTTTCTATAAATTAGACCTCTTGGATGCCATTAAGTGAGCCAAAATCATTCTACTTGACTCTTGCATAAAAAACTCTTGAAAATCACTTCATTTCTTGCATACAAAACCATTTTTTTGTAAAGAGAGAAACTCTAGTTCGATCCGCCTTGACTAGTTTTAAGTGCTTCTACTATAAGAAGTTCTCCGTTGTATCTTGGGAGACAATTGCCAAACCTCCGTTAGTACCGTTGGGGGCAAATTCATCTCAAAGACTGTTAAACAGTTGCCTTGGATCTTTTCTCCCCATTTCCTTTATTGATTTGCCATTTTTGTTTCTACCATCTTTCTTGTTTGGTTTAACAAGGTTCCTGCATCGTTAAACTCTTGTCGAAATTCTATACACCTTCAAAACAATATACCTTATTTTCCCCAACAAATAATCACACAGAAAAATCTAATTTAATATTTCTTACACCATTATTTAATTTTACTCGGAGAAATCGACTAGATTGTGTGTTGGAGATCTTGTACGTGGTAGCAACATTTTGATCTGCTGATGTCCCTGAAAATACATACTATTTTTCTTACCTTTTAATTTATTTTATTTTTTGACTTGTAATTTGTAAACGGTCCAGGCAGTATACTTTTGTATCAAATGAAAACTTGTATTCGAAAGATGCACGAATAAAAAAATGATGAAGACAAGTTCTTGTTTCTTTTATTAGTTAGCAGCCCTGTGAGATGAAAATATTGTATGCGACTTCAACACAAATTTGAAGTAGCGCAAGGATCGAGCTATCAAGTACTTATTCTTTCAACAATGATTTGTTGTGAGATGCTAACAATTTAATTCATGTTTGATGCTTGTTTGTAAACATTTTTGCTCTAAATTTACACGTATTAAGAACTGGTTATTATTATTATTATTATTCTTTGGGCACCATAATTGTGGACCCCAAAAAATATTTGAATTCGCTTATACTAAATAAATTTATTACATGCCAAACATAGAGTGACAAAACCAACTCTCTCAAGTCAGGAAAACACTTCAAGTCACTAAAATGAATCGTGTAATTCTTATATTCTTCTTCGGAATCTGTTTCATTCATTTGTTCACACATCAGCCTCGTCAAAAATAGTTTTGCCATGAAATGACCTTTTACCATTCTATGCACCATTAGTCCAACCTCTAAGTAAATTGTGCTACGCAATGTTTAATTGTACCAATAGCAAAAGGGGTAGAACAATATACAAATAGTAATCGCTATAAGAAACAAAACATACAAAAACAAACCAATTCATACAGTTAGCATTTCATTCTATGAATTATCCAAATAGCCTTAAAAACTTGCTCAACGGAAACACAATACTTTCTCAATATCATTTTATTTTCAGACCTCAATAGGTTATATGATTAGAAAAACTAAAATAAACATAGACCTTTAATTACTACTATGTAACAAGTTTGAAGAGAGTTTGGCAAAACTAAAGAAATACAAGTTCAAAAATATACCACAGATGGTCGAGGATCCAACCATTGGGATAAGTCGCCTCTTCTTCCTCTTTGAGGCCAACCTCACCAATCTCCTCAATCTATTTCTCTGAAAAAGATCCTAACTTATTCATTGGTGAAATAAGAACTGAAGACTTCCACACTTTAAACCTCAACTTCAGATTCTTGGAGCTGCACGAAAATGTGCCATGACGAATTTAAAAGAGACCACATTAAAAGGGGAAAATGAAGTTTAAAGGAACGATGGAGTGGAAGGGTCGATAACATGGAGATTTTATCTTACCTCCACCAATTGTTGCTTCAGGTAGCCGTTCAATTGAATACTTGTGTTGAGTAATGTACATGATTGGTACACCCGGGATCTGATCATAAATATCACTGTTAAATTTCAATTGAAAGGAAATAACACAACCTTTTTGCTGGAAAAATAGTACTTACCTTCCTAATTCTTCGCTTCAAGTCTCGATCGCAGGTTGCAACTATGTAGCACTTGTGCTGTTTTATTGTCACCAAGGGCAATCCATTAAATTGTTTGGAATGAAATTTGTTCGGTAAAATTCATAATGTGAGAGAACAATCTACCCAGCATATATGAATACTACATATGAATGATAGAAATATATTGAAGCACGTGGGTTCAAGCATTTTAGCACTTTTTTTAACATGGAAATTGGAAAACAGAATGAAGTGAAAATTGCTTATTATTATTATTTAGAATCTCAAGTCCTGGAAAACAAAAATATAACAGCCGCTGGCTTTAAATCATACCTGTGTAACCCTGTCAACAAGACAATCATCGGCATATGTTCCCTTATGAGTACAGGGAAGCCTTTCAAATCGAGGATCCTTAGCAATTCTGTTCATAAAAAAGAGAACTAACGAACATTGAGAAACAGTTGGTATAAGCAAAGAGGATTTCAAAAACTAAAGTTGCATTACGTTTTCTCATTTGAATGTGTTTAATTCCAAATTCTTAAACTTCCCAATTTTTGCTGACTTGGCATAATAAATGACATCTTTTGGTGACACGTTGACACTTAGCTACACCACATATGATTTAAATTTAATGTTCTAAATTGAGTGATTAGTGTAAGAGTTACAAACTTCAAGAAAATAACTTCAATCACCATTAACGTAATTACTCATAACTTCAATGACCATAGGCGTAATTAACCCAAATTAAAGCAAAAGTAAAAAGAAGGAAACTTTCAAACAAAAAGCATAAAAACAACAAAACAAGTCCTCTTTCCCCATAAATTTGGTTTCGGCTTTGTGACGCCATTCCATTCGATTGATTGTAACCAATGTTATCAAAATTGGATCAGACTGGAAAAACCATGAACCCATGTCAAATCGGTTCGGTTCATGCCTAAAAACCTTATTTTTAAAAACGGGAAAAAATTAACCAAAAGTCAGTCTAACCGCAAAACTGGCCGACCACAACCGGGTTTAACAATGGAATTTTTTTGTCAAAACTTGAAAATAAACTAAGAGTATGTTTGAGCCCATTTTTGCCAAAAATGCATTTTGAAATAATATTTTAATGGAGAATGTGTAGTTAAAAAATAAAGAAAAAATTTGAGTTTGCGTGTAACATTATTTTATTGAAGTATGTGTAGTTGAAAATAAAAAAGAAATATATTTTGAACAAGGGCTTATTATTTAAGCCCATGCTTAAAACAATAAGGCCTAAATAGTGTGCTATCTCAATATTAGCCACCCCTTTTTATAACTTAATTCTTTAGATGTTGTTGCTGAAAACCTCTGTAGCACGGAAACTTCAATTATGGTAGCGTGTTCGTGTCCATGTCTGACATGTGTTGATATCGACACTCCTCCAACATTTTGCCATAATCATTTTTCTTTTTTTACTAGAAATATTATATATTTTTAAGTCAAAGTTATTAGTAAATAACAAATAGGTACTCATATTTAAAAGATTTCAACAAGAAAAATGAATAACAAATATAAAACTAAGCCCCTGTTTGTCTACCATTTTCCCAAAAATTATTTTCTACAGTAAACAATCTCCACCACATATTCACCTAATAAAATATTCCACACNCACATATTCACCTAATAAAATATTCCACACATAAACCAATAAAGTTACTTTAAATTTCAACCACACATTCTCCAAAAAATACTATTCATTACACCATTTTCCTCCCCATAATTGTAGACAAACAGGGGCTAAATGTACACTATATAAATGAAGAATTTTAAAAAATTTAATCAACTTCTTGTGTCAATAATTTTTTGAAAAATCACGTGTCAACGTATCCGACACGTATCGTAACACACGTGTCCGATCGATGCATCATAGATGGAAACCGATGTGGAATTGACATTTGGCAGTTGTGCCATTGCCCTTTGAAAAGGAAAACCCTATAAAAAAATTGATGGCATTTACTATTGGTGGGATAGACTTCTTTTATTTTTTATATTTTTCCAATTTGATTACTTTTTTTATTCTAATTTTCTTTATTTTCTAATTTATTTATTTTAGTAACAAATAATATGCCATAAAAATATTTAACCGACTCAACTATTAATACATTTGTCTATATTTGTTGTCTTACTTTCTATGAATATTAGAAATGGACCTAATAAAAATTATCTACAATCAAGTTTATTAAGTGATTTTTGTCTCTATATGTAAGTCATTTTGAATAACTAGTATATTTTTCCGAATTTTTAATATATTCATATATTGATCATTTTATTTATTATTAGCGGTTTGATTCCGATTCGACCTTTTGACCCTTGAACTTTTTAACTTTTTCGGGTCAGAGACCATATCAGTTTTCAAAACACAAATCATAACATCTACCTACATCAATTGAAAGATCCAAAGCAACTAGATTCATACAACTACCATATGCCCCTTTAATTTTGCCTACTCTTCTCTCTTTTGACGGGTTCTACAAATTCCAATAATTGTGAGCTAAGCGATCACCATTAACAGCAAAAAAATATATATATCCATCCATTTCAGATGAAGAAGAAACCCCAGCTTAATAAATTAAGTCCTCATAAGGAGGACAGGACATGATTTGTTAAAGGTTTGGTAGGGTTTCAGGCATTTTTACGGACAAGAATTAAGGTCCTTGATAAGCTAATTTTATCTATACAGGTAAATAAATATACATGCAATAGTGAGTTCAAAAAGATAAAACAAAGAAGGATAAATCAGAGGAAATCTAAATTACAAAACTCAATCATTCTCAACTTCTCAACTATATATTATAACACTTGGATCACTGCAACCTGCACGGACTATTAACTTTATTCTATACAATACAAAATCCATAAATTCTTTCACAATAATCCTGAGCTGAAATAGCACATTTATTACAGAGTACACACAACACAAATACACGTGCAGAGGCAGAGAGACATTGTGCAAAATCATTGCTTTATGTGCATTCTCACAGGCCCCAAATACATTTGACCTATGCTCGATGACGATGAAGCAGCGATGCATCCACTAGAAGAGCAAGGGACTATTTCTGGTTACTAGATTGGTTGCTGAATTGTTTAGTCATTTAATTGTTAAGGGAAGAGGGTATTTTAGGGTCTTTCTAGAATTACGGTGAGGGCCTATAAATGTAAGGGAGGGGAGACTGTTAAAACAATTCGGAAATTGAGAATTAAGTGAAGAGTGGATGGCCTCTCGAATGCCTTCCAATTTGTAGTTAATTTTCATTCTGCATTTCGATGACAGCATTCATATATTCACAGTAACTTTACAATCACGGATTCAATCCATATTCCATATATTTGAATTCACTTACTAGAAATAGAATAGAATCAAATGTTTGTGATCTTATCATATTCATCCTTTTTACTGCATAAAAATATTATAGAATATAACACAAAGTATCAACATATTTTCATAAAATCAAAATTTACAAGTACCCAAATCTGTATTGCATAAAAAATTGCTTAGCTCATGAGTTAATAATGTATAGCTAACCCCAAAAAGTTTTTATATAGTTCAAAGTAGATCTTCACCAGTAGTATCAAAAAGAAAAAAATAACTTACCTCAGAGCAACTCGGTATTTCTGACCCAACTTCTCAAGCTCAGCCATTACACAGTCCGTTATACAAGGAGTGCCTAGAAAAGGTTGGGAGAATAAAATTAATGGCAATACAAGAGTTTGATAACAAGCCAAACAAAAGGATGACATGATTCACGGTTAGCAGATGAGCAGCGTAATCTCTCTATGAATAGCCTAAAAGAACCCCAGCAGTACAATACATTATAGTTTATAAAAGAGAGTGAAGCAAAATCAGGAAAAAAAAATTCCAATTTAAAGTTATTGTTATTACAGGGACATTCTAATAGTAAAGCAAATTCTATAATTCTATCACTGGACAAATAGAAGTAGCAAAAAATGCATTCATGAGTAGATAATGATGTAGTTCCCACGAAATAAGGAACATGAACCCAGTGACAACTAACAACCTTATAAATCACTTGCTCAAAAGCGAAAGTTTTAGCAACGCTAGGGTGATTATAAAGACATGAAACATAAAAGAGCAATAAATTCAAGAAGAAAGAGTGGCAGCAGAACTTACATTTTGCATATAAGCAGTTCATCATTCCATTCTCCAAATCCAACTACAAAAGATTTTAATATTATAAAAGAATATCAACAGGAGAAATCAGTCATTGCTTTCAATACAAACAGCAAAGCTATGGAAACATATTTCTTCAGGTGATGAACTGAAAAAATAAAAAATTTCCATCCATTTATTTGTTCTCCTTGTTCACCTCCATTTTGGGTGCCTTCGTTTTCTCCTTTTCTTTTCTTTCTTTTTTTTGTGTGTGTATGTGTGTGTGTGTGTGGAGAAAGGTTGGAGCGGTGGGAGGCATATTAGTCAATCCACAAAATACAGAAATGGTCCACTTATATTTTAAGAGGTGATTGCTTAAAAATAATTCAAAGTAGTAATTTGGAAGGTAAGGTCTTCCTCTTTTCAACCAAATAATCAAAAAGACCAAGGATACCAAACAACAAAAACAAAAGGAAGGATAAGCATAGTGTCTGGCACATCATACTGAACACTTAACAATTTGAGTTTTTAAACCATGAAATATCCTCAATTACAAATCATCCAAAGAAGATTTCGCCCAAATTTTTCCTACAAAAGCTAAGTCAATGTATAACCAAAAATAAACTATCCAAAGGGGTAGAGTAAATCAAATCAATTCAACATGGAACAGAAGGCCCATTTCAGCTCAGTAGGGTGTGTAGAATGTTTTACACTGGTAACCTCATGTTTCAAACAAGTATATATAATTTTATAAATTTGTAAGATAAACTTTCAAATAAGTAATAATACCAACCAATTTGATGAGTTATAAAATAATTGTTTATCTTATTAATTAAATCAATAAAAGCCTTATTTCAACAAATACTATAGCTGAAAATCTAATATTTATTGAATTGCATACACTCCATGTATATTTGTTGAAACAAACCCTTCTCTCCTCCATTTATTGTTTCACACATGCAGCTTCAACTCCTCTGGTTGTGTAATAAGAAAACATGTATTAGCAATACCAGTTCAATTCAGCAAGCAACTGATCACTATTTTTTCTCTCCTCGTTGAATACAAAATTTACTCCATTGACCTCATACTCTTACATTTTTCCTCATCCTTTTCTAGTGGGGTCTAGAAACATATAATTTTACTAATTTCCTAAATTGAGTGGGATCCTTTGACCATGCTAACTTATGTGTGGCTTTCTTGTGCATTCCATTTGTCCACATTAAACTTTGTATGACATGAAAATACACAAAATAGACTTTTATCACCCCCAACCCAAAAAAAAAAAAAATTCTCCAGGAACAAAATCATCTTCACATAATAATCAAAACTCTTATTCTCCTGATTTACAAACATATAAAAAAATTCCATTCAGAGTATTGTCATTGTTTGAGCCCCATTTTTTGGGAAAATAGATTTTGTAATAGTGATTTTTTTTTAGAATGTGTGGTTAAACAGTAGGGCAAAATTTTAAGTTCACATGTAAAATTATTTTATTAGTAGAATGTATGGTTGAAATAGAGTTTGGAAAAAAAAATGAGTTTTTAAAAAATGGGGCTCAAACAAGGGCTAAAGATCAAGAATATGAAAACTGAAAACATAAGAATGCAATATCAGATGCTTTAAGCGTGAAACATTGCCAAACATGCAGTTCTATAGTCGAAATATATGATCATATGAGAAAAAGAAGAAACTTAGAGCACTCACTTTATTTTGGATGGAGAAATTGATGAAATTAGTATCAACCAGAACTCGGTAAGGCGGCCCTAATGCAGTGTTATGCTTAAAATAAAGTGCAGATGAAACTTGAGGTCTGCATTTAAATATTGCAGCCACATTGATTTCATCATAAAGTATATAGACACAAGCACACATAAAAACTTTTAAATTAGAAATAGAAACGAGAATTACTTACACGTTTCTTGGGAGCTTTAGTTTGCTCAAGTCTTTCTTGATAGGGTTTAAAACCTCCTGTTTGTGCCTGACATAAAAAGTTAACACAATTAGTAAATTAATTGAGTATAAACGTAAAATAATCAGATATATCCATAGAAATAGATGTGGTCTTACTGTTTAAGTGCTCTGTGAGTAACAATTTTCTTCATGACTGCAAATTTAGGGGTTTTCTTCGCTTTTCCCATCTTTAAACAATTCTCTTTAAGTGTAGTAAAAAGAAGGTGCGAATCGTTGATTCTCTCTTAGACCGATTCGAATGTGGAATACAAAACCGCAAGCGAATCCAGGAATTTAGGATGCAAGAGCTGAAAATTATTCATTCAATCCATGAGAAATTGTAGTGAAAAATTGTATTTTCACTAGGTCGATCTACCCTAGAAAAGAACGAAAACAATTTCCTAATCTTCTTGGGAGGAGGTTGACCTTCCATTTATAAATTCTTAAAACCATAAACAAACAAAAAAACAATCCAACAATGATCCATTACTCCAACAATAAGCCAAAAACAATTCATTAAGCCAACAAGACAACAACAACTCATTTTAGATTCGTCGACAAGGCACCAAGAATTCATTATTTTGTTGACGAGGCAAAAACAAGTAGAGAGATGAGGACATTGACTTACTGAAGGAAGCAGATTGTAGCTTCTTGGACTACACCTTCTAAAACAAAATGAAAGGCTAAGCAGCAAAGACACTGTTATCACAATATCAAGCTGCAATGATAGAAACAATAAGATTAGAAACATTGTTGCGTAAACTTAGAGATAGATAATGTAATAGACGCACTAATAAGCTCAAGACCCAGCAAATATAAAGATGAGATTTTCTTGAATGAAAGAACTATATATGAAATTTCTACTTAGAGGCCCAGCTACTGGAAAAATTGTGGCCTAGGTCAAGATTTTTAAGACTTTCTTGCTCTTAACAAGTTTATAGTAACAACAATCTTATCATATGCAAAATTCTTAAAAATGTGTCATAGTAGTTGTAAAATTGTTAAGACCACTTCAAACATATAATAGCCTCAGAAGTTCCATACCATCTTCAAATTTCATTGTGTGTCGTAAAATTAGTAATGATACAAAGAGAGTCATTCCTTCATCTCATTCACTTTTTAACACCTACATACCCTCTAAATCTTAGGGCTGTGACAGCTGGGAAACAAAACCTATCACTTATTTAGCACTCCATTCCTTCAATCCCTTTCACCTTTTGTCCAAATACATGGAAAATACTCAATTTAAATAGAACAAGCAAAATGATACATTGATCGAAATGACTAATCCATGATAAGTGTAATTCAACAGCAACCTACTCTCCTACTCATCCTTTTCTCTATGGGAAAACGACTCAATATCCACTGTCAAACTGCAATGAAGTAACTCCATCGTTTCCTGTGTACTTCTCAAGGAGTAAAAGAACAATTTATTTGTAGCCTGGAAGCATAAATCCAGACAAACCTATCTGAAGGTTTCGCATCTCATCACGTCCCTGTGTTTCTCCTTATTCATTGTTTCTAATTTATCTCGCAGTTCCTATCACATTCCATCAAAAAGCACCATTAAAAAATTTGCCTCATTACTGTTCTAAGCAGGAAAAAAAAAGAGCCAAACAGCAACCTTCAATTTGGTTGATTACAAGAATATTCAAACAAAAAGAAGAAAAATTCACAGCTATAATTTCTGAACAGCAGGGGTGGTTCAAACAAAATCTAAGGTCGCAATTTGCAATAAGCATAGAATTCGACCAAAAAAGATCAAGAACATAACAATTAACAAATACTATTACAGTTCAAAGATATCTATGAATTTACAAAGACCCAATTAAAAAATTTTAAAAATTGTTCTACCCTTCGAATGAAATCAAGAAAGTTTCAGTATGCAAGAGCAAGAAGATATACTCAGATAGCTCTATCCAATTCAATTATTGCAGCCGGATGGCATATAAGAGACTAGTAGATTCCGAGAGGAGAGAATAGAGACGGAGAGAGAGACACGATATAAACGGGGGGAGAGGGATGGAGATGTTTGTGTATGGGTATGGGAATTGGGTTGGGCGGGTTTTAAGATTTTGATTTAGGATTTAATATCGACGAAATTACACCTAGGGTGTGTTTGGTACCCATTACAATTTTCATTCTCATTATTCTACTCATTTTCAATCATACATTTTTCATTAAAATAATATTTTTCATCACATCAATAACTTTTCCTTCTTTTTCAACCAAACATTCTCCATCAATCTACTATTCCAAAATACATTTTTCCATAATAATATCCATCAAACACACCCCTAGTCTGATTTTTATCTTAGTATTTCAAAAATTAATTTTAAGTTTAATCTTTTAAAAATCAAGTATATACTCCACCCCATCTCACATTATCCCACCTATCCTTTTATCTATCATTTCCCCGAATCTCGTATCTAAGTTCACTCTCACCACCACCTGCATCCACCACTCCCACCACCGTCGCCCGTCGTCACCATTTTCACTGTCGCCTATAAACATCTCACACCACCATTCACTCGCCGCAGCCCTGTCACCACATCGCTTCCTTTTATCCATTTTTCCCTAAACCACTACACAATCTTGTTGGTCACTTTAGAAATCAGAATTAAATCAGTGAAAGACTGATTTGATAATTGAAACATTGATAAGTGCTTTGGACAGGGATGCAGTTTGCTTCCGTTTTGGTAGCTTTGATGATTAACAAGATTATTGTTGTTGGAATAAGTAGAATTATCCTTTTGTTTAAGCTTATAGCCAGTTGAATAACTATGAATTTCATAACACCTATCAATGGCAAAGAGTGCAGAAAGGTCCATTCTTCTTCTGGCCATTATAACCTCCATTATTAGAAGTGTGGGGACTGTATCAAGTGCTACTATTGTTATAATATTGTAGAATTCATAGCAGCATTTGACTTAACATGACTGGTAATATTCCTCTGATGTTCTATATGGGAACCTTACTTGGCTCCTCCGGGTCAAGGTGCATTGCCCCTTAATTGAAGCCTTGTTAAGTGCTTCGGACAGGGAGGCGGTTTGCTTCCGTTTTGGTAGCTTTGATGATTAACAAGATTATTGTTGTTGGAATAAGTAGAATTATCCTTTTGTTTAAGCTTATAGCCAGTTGAATAACTATGAATTTCATAACACCTATCAATGGCAAAGAGTGCAGAAAGGTCCATTCTTCTTCTGGCCATTATAACCTCCATTATTAGAAGTGTGGGGACTGTTTCAAGTGCTAATATTGTTATAATTTTGTAGAATTCTTAGCAGCATTTGACTTAACATGACTGGTAATGTTCCTCTGATGTTCTTTTTGACAAATTAAACCAAATACTTTATTTATCGTAGGTAATTGATTCATAAAAAGCAATTGTCCTCGGACTTGTGAAAAAGAGTCATAATAGTCCCATGAGAAAATACATTATACTCCATTTGATAATGAGAATTAAGATTTTTCACACCGGTACAAGTGCATTAACCACAAGAACAAACATGTCTATAATTGCCTAATTCCTTGTACAGTCTTCGGTTTTGTAAAATAAATTGTAATCTTAAAGAATAAATCCCCATGTACATACAGACCCCTTACAAGGGGGCTGGCCCCCACATGTATTAAAAAAAAAAGAATTTGCGCCAGCCCCACCATGTGTATTGTCTGTAAACCTTCTGTAAAAAAAATTCTGTAATGCAAGCATGGTTCAATCTTGAAACTAGGTTCATCAATTTACTTTTTGGCTGGAAAATTTTAGGTCCATTTCTTTGTTAAAGTTACATATTATTTTAGTTGGCTCACTTAACATAGATTGATTTTTAAATGTCAAAGACAAGTGGTAAAAATATGAAAAACAAGATGTTGTCCTTGTTGGAAATGGTGCCAAGTGG